CGTGCATACATTTTTTGGGTCCGAATACACCTCAACCGACATCGCACCAATTACCTGACCTGGCTTGTCCGAGGGTGAGTGCCGAAACCGAACCCTAAACCGGAGTGTGTGAGTCGAAACCCCTTAAACCCCAAATCCTAAACCTAGAACCCTGTGATCGTGGTACTCGGATCCTCGCCTGGCTTGTCCTAGTTGTGAGTGCTGAAACCTAGAACCCTAAACCCTAAGCCGACTTCGCACCATGAACCTCGCCTGGCAGCGTAAACCGACCCTCGTCCGCCATGCCAGCCTTGTGCGAGTGTGTGAGTCGAAACCCCTAAACCCCTGAACCCCAAATCCTAAACCTTGAACCCTACACCCTTAATCCTTAAACCGCAAATCCTCGATCTTGACCCCTAAACCCTAAACCAGGTACCTCGCCCAGGTAAGTCCGAGAGTGCTTGCTGAAACCCTTAAACCAAAGGGAAAAGACCTTGAACCCTAAACCCTAAACCAGGTACCTCGCCCAGGTAAGTCCGACAGTGATTGCTGAAACCCTTAAACCAAAGGGAAAAAACCTTGAACCCTAAACCCTAAAACCTAAACCCTAGAACCCTAGAACCCTAGAGCCCTAAACCCTAAACCCTAAACCCTAGCCAAGGCTGCGAGCGACTCTGCGGCTCCATGCGGTCTTCAACTTCGCGCAGATGCTCCAGGCACTGGGTCGACGGAAGGGGGGCTTTGGGGGAGGTTCCATACAGATAGCTTGCTAAAGTAGGGTCCCTTTCAGGCTCGTTTGTTCTGAGGCTGCGGTACTATATTGGGGACCTAAGGTGGGTCCAAAATTTAGAGAACTACCCATACTGTATAAGATTATTGTAGTAGTAAAGTATATATGTTGCCTACAGTCTCCATCGTAGTTCCTTTGCTGGGTTTACCGTGCAGGATGCTACTTCTGAAATTGGTTAAACCGAAATCTTCAAAAAGGAACTACAATGATAATGGAGACTTCAGATAAATACATTAGAGTATACTAGACTAGACTACACCAGACTAGACTTGCTGTACAGTACTATGTGACACATTATATAGGAGTTCACCCTACAGGCGTAGCCTAGGCCCTCGATTGCCTTGCATCATGCAAGCTCGAGGTGAAACTTGTGGGATTTTTGCTGTGGAGCAGCCGTAACCGGATCAATGGAGGGTTGGAGACCAACACGGAAACGGTTGTGCGGTTGTGCACCTCAACTGTCTACTTTTAGAAGCCAAGTTTGCCACAGCCTGCCACTCAGCATGTGCTGAGTGCTGAGTGTAGCAATTGCGTAAAGCACGGAACCACCAGTTCTATGCCAGGGTGAGAATGTCCCGGCCAACGTTGCGCAACTTCAGGAACAGGCCGGCAGGGGCATGCAGGTACGGTTCGGGCTTGGGAGTCTCTGCTGTTTCTGGGGTCTGGTGCTGATCCTCTTTCCGCATGAATGCTTTGAAGGGGAAGATCCTCTTTCCGCATGAATGCTTTGAAGGGGAAGGTTCATGGAGTCGGGGTGCGTAGGGTCTGATTGACATTTCATCTCACTTCTGTGTCCAGAGCAGGGCCAGAGCAGACAGATTGCACATGTCGCCTTTCATAGGAGGCATATTCGTCCAACATACATTGGGCTCAGTTTGCTTCACTGTGACCCTGGGTTATTTCCCATCATCCCGCATCATGCATCACCATGCGGCCACAAGCTGCAAAGCTGTCACGAACTTCGCTGGTCCACCAAACAAACCGCCGAAAATTGAGGGAAAATAGCATTCCCGGTTGGTATGTTTGGGGAGTACTAGCTCTGATTCTGAAGTGTTTCGAAGTTTGGGGCGCAAGGGTGCCACTGCCTGAAACGAACCCTCCCGGAAAATACGTCTCTCCACCGCGAAGAAGATGTTATGTTCTCGATACGTCGTACCTAAGTCCTCAGTCGTCATTGTTGTTCCCTTTTTGGTTTAAGCAAGTAAACATATTTAGGATCTTATAAGGCAGCCCCAAAAGGAGCTACAATGGAGACTCTAGGTAGGAATCACTTTCTAAATCAGGGTTGTCCTGAGTTGGGGTCTTGAAGTCTGCATTGCAATTGCTTCGAGGGCTCCGATTAAGTGTTTGAAACAACTCCTTGATGGCTTTGATTGTCGTAACTGCCGCATTCAGGTCAAGCATGTGCTAGACCCTGCAGGTGCGCAGAGAGGGTGAGCAAGCCCTGCGCTTCTACATAATCTTCCTTCTTGGCTTTATGTGCCTTGGCTTCGGTGTGTGGAGTTAGACTTGCAAGTACTTGTTACCTGCCCTTCCTCGAACTGCACACCATCCATTTAGGGTCTCAGGCTAAACAGGTTTTATGGCTGCCAACTCCGAAATCACAATCCTCCCACAGGAACCCTGAACCCACAATGGTCCGTGGCACCTACATGACCTACATTGTTTCTGCTGACGATTGAGGGTTTGTGGGTGACATCGACGGGTTCTCTACAGCCCGATCCCGTCCCAAGGAGTGGCTTAGGAGCGGGGCACGGCTCGCGCTTCCTCAATGCCAAGCGAGCCGAGAATGTCATCGCAGCAGTTCGCATGCTGCGGCACCTACTGAGCCCGATCTGCAAAAGCGAAGCATGGATATGGTCTCGATAGTGGTGATCGAGTTTACAAATCCCTAAGCCTAAGCCTCTAACCCTAGACCACCCTAGACCCTAGCTTGCTGCATGCAGTTGGAAGAGAGCCCGCAAAAGAAAATTAACCCCAAACCCTACACAAAAAGCACGAAGCCCCGCTCTCCGAACCCCCAACCCTTCCTTTGCCACACCTCTACCGAGCAGCAAGTTCCATCGCATCCCATTCAGAACACACTGTGAGGCTTGGTTTTGGCTAGTAAGAGGCCGCTAGCTTAGACTTGTTTAGGGCCTCAGTCCAGATTTCTATGTATAATCTTCATATGTGTATATATATATATGTATTTATACTTGTACACACACATACATACATACATACATACATACATACATACATACATACATACATGTATATATATACATATATCTACACATGTATATGTATATACATGTATGCACAGTATATAACATACACACATACACGCATATATATATATACACATATAGAGAGAGAGAGAGTATATATTCTGTTTATCCTATCATACATAAGTTCATCAGTGCATATATCATTTCTTCACACGTCGTATATGCCTTTATAGTACATTTATACAGAGGGTGCAGGCTCAGACTTATCGCAATTCCCGTGCCTCCACCTTTGAAACCTTTGCAGGAAAGCCACCCCGCGCGGCATCTACTGGGGCTACTTGGTTTAGACAGTGCACTCGCCTCGATGTGTTCTTCCCAGAGCATCACATAGTATCAAACTCAGAAACGGGCATAGAACAGCCGTCTTGACCAGTACGGCATGAGTGATGTCGCAGCTGCAGAAAGACACCAGCACACAGAGTCCCAGCTATTCAAAAACCAAAGACGTAACCACGGATGAGTTTCTCGGCAATACTGACGAGAATGCCCAAACAGCAATTATGGGACTCAATCAAGCTGGCTTCGGTTGCAGCGGAGGGCTGCTTTGCCTCAAGGTTTCGGGTCTTCGGAGCTGGATGATGGTAGCATGGTCCCAGCAGAAAGTGCGACTGCCGATCCTGAACCCTGAGGCCTGAAACCCTAAACCCCTAGAAGTTTAGGGCTTATGGGTGTATAGGGTTTAGGCCCCTAAACCCTGATAGACGTCATAAGCGTCATATCCAACCGACCAAGCCCCAAGAGCCTCGCCAGGCATGTCCGAGAGCGAGTTTCAGCGCTCACCTAACCCGTATTCCTGTTCGGCTTCAGGAGGCTTAGCCTAGTAGGTCCCTGATGGTATGTACTTTGGCTTTTGAGTAGTCCCTGTAGAGGTACTTTGGGGCGAAAGTAATTACATGGACCCTGTATACAGTTAAATTAGAAGAGGCATGTGTCAACGGCCTAAACCCTCATTTTCTAAACCAGCGTGAGGCTACTTGATTGCCCGGGCCCAAGCCCTGCAAGCGCCCTTCCGAACGCCCGAGGACGGTTCGTTTAGGGCATGGTTTTTTTTGAAGGGTTTCGGTGTGGCGCTTAGAATGCGCACGGACTCACTTTTGCAGTCAGTGTACTTGGAGGTCCATCGCTTCCACTGTGCTCAGCTTAGTCGAAGGGTGCGAAACAATTTTGAGCCTCAGGCGTTCGTCAGTGGTATGCCAAGTTTTCGGCAGGTTTGTTGTGCATCCTGCGCTCAAACTGAGGCTGAGTCTCTGCACCCTTAACATTATGAAAAGACTCATCTGGGTTCGGGCAGCGACCCGTTCAGATTTCAACTTGAGGTGCTTGCATGGCTACTCTTGATCTGACAAATCCCTCGTGCGCACACATCAAGATTTCACGTGAGATCGTCTAGCTCAGCCCAAGTTTGTGCGCAGCCAAGAAAAACATGCTCGAAGGGTCTTGTCGGTCAGTAAGAAGTCGGACTAACTTCTGTCGTGCTGCGGTCACAACTCCTAAACTGACCCGACCCAAGCTTTCCGAACCAAGCACTGTCAGCCCCGGTTGAATCTTGACCGGGACCATGTAATCTCACTTGTGCAGGACTTGGTGCTCATTCGGCTGGCCTGTCTCATGCGCACCTGTGTGGTCAATGGCTGGTTTGAGGACGAAATTGAGGTTACTGCAGGGCCCAGCTCAAGAACCTCAAGCCTACAAAACCATGAGCATCTGTGTGGGGAGAAAGTGTTTGGCCGTGCGTTTTGCCAACCTGACAACATGGGAAATCTCGGTGAGAGGCCAATATTTGGATGCAACTGCTTCAAAGCAGCTCTCAGAAAGAACGCCACCCTGCTTTGTGGGAGACTCTTGAGACCCGTCGTATCAGTGCTGCGCACAGCCCCCGTGATTGAACACCGTGTCAGCTCCGCCCCCCCGCCCCCCACCTTCATGCACGACAGCAGCCGTTCCGAGGTATCGAGGACATGTCCGCCTATGAGCAGCTGAAAACTAGCGCCTCGTCCATGCACTGGAGACCTGGGTGCACATGAAAAAGCCAAGACATGGGCGGATCAACCTGAGATTCTGAGACCGAGACCCTCAAGCCGAGTTAGTCCTTGGGAGGCTGGAGCTATCTGGGCCCGGATGAGCAGCATACGCTGACGAATCACTTCCTGGCAGACGGGATTGAGGTCGCATGCTCGGCTGGAGGGCTTTGGGGGCGACCCCCTTCTCGAGAGCCAGATAGGCCCACTTTGGGCATGCAAGCCCAAGCTACTCTGAGTAGGCGTAAGGTCTTTGGTCCCTCGGTCACGAAAATTCAAGCCAGGCAGTTGTCCCCAGATCTACACCTGATTATTATTCCCGGTTTGTTTCATTGGGTGTCTGCCGAGCTTCCCGCATTGATGAGTATTTATCAAGCAAGTTTTCTTCAGGAGGAGCCGGCTGGAACAACATGCAAGGTCATCGTTATCTTCTTTCACTCTTACCGATTTCACGATTTCATAAATGATAGACCGTTAAGCCGGCGAGCATTCGTGCGCGCAGGACCTGGTCTGCGTTTTTGAGTTCCTTCCCGACTGCTTCTTGACTGCCTGCACCGTCAAGGGATGTACGTAAGCAAGAAAAGAGGCAGGCAAGCTACCGGGGATGAGGCGCTAGGAAAGTTGAAAGTGAGGTATGTATAGAGATAGATGTACACACGTACATGCATATCCCTATATACCTAGTTTAGGAACCAGGGGAAGATGAGGAGACCGACTGCAGCGAGAACGTGCTTGTTGAGCACTGCAAGTACTGCAGGCCTGTAGGCCATCATGCTTAGGGTTCAGGGTTTAGGGTTGCGGGATCCCACACCAAATCAGCAGCCCAGGCGTGGCGAATGCAATGGCCAATCCTGCTGTCACTTTGTCGTGCTTGCTCGAATGCCTGGTGGATTTGCTCCACGTGCTTCAGCCCAACATCGCATCTCAGCTGCATGTGTGACATGCATCTGTGCCTCACCCCAGCTCTCCCCATAAACCAGGGCAGGAGAAGGTCTCACCCCCACATTGCCTACTGTACAGGCTCCAGAGCCCCACATTCTACTATATCTGAGTCCGCTGCCTATTCTCCGGCAACCCTATGGAGTCACGTGTCATTTTGGGGAAGTTGGAGAGATTGCCCTACATGAAAGTGAAACTGCCATGGGGTTCAATTTGTTTTTGCTGTTGTTGTTGGGCTGACGAGACTGTGGAAGGACATATCCTACGTTTCCGACGGATATGACAATCCTTCTACACTTGGAACTCAGGCCCGCAAGCTCTGAAAATCACAACTCCCGAACCGATAGCAACGAGAGCAGCCCCCAAAGGATATGATGCCGGATCTCAAGGATGCGAAAGTTGTGCTGGTGGACTTATCAGACACTGGGCAGTGTTCGGGGACAGGCCTAATAGAAGCTTGAGGAATTGCCAATGCTCTCCCTCAAGGTTTCTGTGGTACGCAGTTATAGTATACAATCCCAAAGAACCCTATAAGGCCCTACACACAGACTCAACCCTATAAATTTCAATAACCCAGCAAAGTCTCTAAGCTCTTCGCTTCGAAGGCCTGGAAAGCCTGCGACCCCAAGGCATAGGGCTTTGGGGTTTAGGGCTTAGCTTAGGGGAATTAGGTTTTGGAAGGTTCACGACTGAACCCGCATCCTGACCGAGCACATGATACCGAATTGGGAACCCCCTTTAAGACCAAAGTGAAGGCTACATGGGCACATGGAGCCTCAGGGATCCTGACCGAGGACATCCGGGGGTTAATGTATCGGCGGCTAATGTGCTGTCGTCTGCCAAAGTGCTGAGCCGTGTACCAGGAACCTCGCCCAGGCATGTCCGAGAGTGAGTGCTGAAACCCTAAACCCTGAAACCCTGAAGCCCTAAACCCTGAAACCATAAACCCTAAACCCGGAAACCCCACCTCAGAGATAACTTCCTCGATGTGGAACCGCAGCCTGCCCTGCGGTACCAAGAGAGCCTTGAGCGCGACGAACATATTGCAAATGTTCACCAGGACGATGTGACGATGATGATGGTGATGATGATGGTGTTGGTGATGATGATGATGATGATGATGGTGTTGGTGATGATGATGATGATGATGATGAGCATGATGCAGTGTTTGCAATGCTGCATGTTGAGTTCTGCCAGCGCTTAATGAGGCATGCAACCTCCAACAATGATTTGGTGGAAGTGGATGTGAACGAAGAGCTACTGCTGCAAGCCAGCTTGGACTTGAAGAAGTCGGAGAAGGAAGCAAGGGAGGAGGCGGACTTGGAGGAGCTGGTTTCTGATGGGCTAGAGGCCAGGAGAGAGAGTTAGGCTCGGGCCAAGCAGGAGGCAGCGGAGGACGAATGGATGACCGAATGCCTGAGAAGAGAGGAGGCAGAGGCCGGAAGGCAGATGGCGGAGTACCAGGCTGCTCGCTACAAGGACTGGGAGAACTGGGAAGCTCTGAATGCGGGTCCCTCAGGGTCCCAGGTGACAGGGAGGTGGACGGGACGGTGTCCGGGGGCCTTGGTGCCGCTTTCCTTTGGTCCGATGGGTTCGTCAGTGAATGAGGTCTCTGTGATCTTCGAGCAGTCAGGGACTGGTTCAGCCACTACATGGCCCGACGAGCTTGGCCACCAATATGGGGTCAGGGGCTTCCCAAGTACAGAGGTGGCTCGAATCGGTGCTGCAGGGGTTTTATGTGACATGGAAGCAAGGACGGGTGGATGGTGGTGTGGGGCAAACAGTTCCGGGTACAGAGGTGCTCACCTTATACCATTCCCAGTTGCTGGCGGAGGATGATGATGACAAACCTCAGCGAGGGGAATAACCGTCGAGTATGAGGGTGGCAAATGAGGGTTTTTCCGCTGATGTAAATTCCGACCGGTCGCCCCACGGGGTTCTTTGGGAGGCTTCGGCGGTCCGAAAGAGGAGCGCTCAAAAACAAAACCATCCTGAAACCCCAAGCCCTAAACTCTGAAACCCTAAACCCCCGAAACCCTAGAGACCCTAAACCCCTTGACCGAGGACATGAGTGAGTTCATCGCTTGCGTCCAGAACCGCTTTGTCTTCGAGACTTGTGTTTCCAGGCTTGGCCCGGGCCTGTTTAGAGCTTTTAGGGTTTAGGTTTTGAGGGTTTAGGGCCTATGTGTTGAAGTGGTACTTGTATTTTTTTTGTCGGGGGTTTGGGCGTATCTTTATGGGGTTTGGCGTTTGAAGGGTTTTCCCAGCTGATTGGCAGAGTCTGGGTTCAAAAACCTGGGGGGTTGTAAAATGTTTTGTGGATTTTTGCATGGTGGTGTGTTACGGTTGTCCAGGTGTGTCTGTTGTTGCGAGGGGTTGATTCAAAAATCTGCGGGTCCTGATAGAACCGCCGCTATTCACCTCTGCGGCTTCAATCAGGGTTTTACGTAGCCTAGGCAGGATGAGCCAAAAGCCGAAGCAAGAATCCTATAAGTTGAATGTACCACACTTCGGTAGATTCCGTAGATCATGCCTTCACTCATAATTTCGGCGGCCCTGCTTTTGTAATGCACTGTGAATTGCACTACGATGTACCACGATTTGCTCGTGGCAATGATGGTTTTGGCTTCAGGCTCCCGTATCCTCAAAGCTTAAACTCCTAAATGAAAACACTGTGGCCTTGCGTGGCATGTCCGTGCCCCGCAAACCAAATTCCTAAACTCGATTGAGATTGGTTGTATAGAGGTTGTGGGGTAGAGTTGACTGTAGGCTGCGTCGAGATTCAGACGGGTGTTCCAACCTACTAGGAAGTGAGATATCAAAGGGCACTTGGGATTGTGCAGGTTGCACGGTCAGATTCGGGGCTCATGGTTTAGTATATAGAGACCTGAAGGATTACCTCGATCATGCCTTATCATTCACAGTACTTGTGCATGTGTATGTATATATATATGTGTGTGTGTGTATGTATGTATGTATGTATGTATGTATGTATGTATGTACGTACGTGTACGTACGTATGTACGTATGTATGTATGTACGTATGTATGTATGTAAATTCCTGCTTATGTGTATATATTTATATATATAGTATTATCCATTATTCCTATCCGTAGCATGAAGGTCGCTATGTGACATGGCCACCGATTGTGTTGTTGCTCTTAGAAAACTATCTTGTGACGGTGGAAACAGGGCTCAGGGTGCACACCCGCAACTTAGACCCTGGAGTTAAAGCAAGGTCAGCTTGCTGCAAGTGGTGAGAGGCGAAGGTAGGGGCCTAAATAGTTCCCAATACTATTGGGGGGGCTCCTTATTATAAGTATATTATAAACGAGCCCAAAATCCTTTTCTACTTATTAAGGCCTTTAAATTACTCTCTGAAGCCAACCTGAAGCCCTGAAGCCTCAACCCTGCCCTTGTACTGAAACTCTGACAAGGTTTGTAAACTGATAGCCTCTCACCTGAAGACTTCCAAGAAAGACCCTTCAAAATGTCTTGCGGAAGGTGCAAGATTCGCTTCGCCGGACGGCGGGCGCAGCTGGAAGCTTGGATTATCGAAAGGTGCGTTCTAGAGCGTACTAGGGTTCAGGTGAATAGCTTGATGGCGGGGTAGGGTGTGGGTTAACCCGGATTTATGGTGGTTGCTGATTGATGGTTTGGCTTTTTCGATGGGTACAGGTTTCGGAGGTCGGGTGCATGCGTTGTTCGGTGATGCGCGCTTGGGTTTCAGGCTGGATGCGTTTGGACTAATCGTCTACGAAAGTTGTAGGGGGTCGATGGGTGGGGCCGACAGAGTGTTTTGTTGACCCGTTGAACCAGTAACCGACTGTCAACTCAGCAGAAGTAGCTTGCACTCCACGTTATGGCATGCTCTGCATCTTTTCGGTGCCACAACCAACTGAGCTCAAAGCCCCAAACTCTAACATCTGGCAGACCCACACGCGTAGGAACCCAAAGAGACCAAGGAAATGACGGGCGGCAATTGGGGTCGTGAAACTCGGCTGAGAAACTGGGTGCCTTTTTTGGGACCAACTCTGGAACTATTGCGCAGCTTTGACATCCCAGTGCAGCAATACCAATAGTAGGAACACATAGTGATGATAATAACAAAACAATAACCAAAACCAACACTTACTATAGCAATAAGTTTTGAAAAGTAGAAATAGGACCGGACGTAGGATAATGATGGACAGTTCAGGGACTGATGCAGCATGCGGAAACTCGTATGCGGCTGCAGAAGGTTTCTCAACAGGCTGCAGAGGTTCACACTTCGAGAACGAATCTTTATGAACGAAGTTCGAACTGCAAACCTAAACAGCCTAATCAGAAATCCTGCTGGCACAACGCAAACTGTGAACTCTCACAGTGGCATAGCATCTGGCATTGCTACTTCATGTTCATTTGTTGGGAGGATGTCCGACACACTCTCCATGTGAAGGGCCCGTTTTTTTTCCCAACTTCGGAGCATCTGATCTGGCCAAGTATGCCATCGCAGGTCAACGATACAGAGTCAGATATCACAACCATCGCCTACTCAATCACAGATCTGCGGAAGAGCCTTGGCCCTGCAGCATTATGGTTTTGCATTTGACTGTCGGTGCGTTTCCGTTGCTTCGCGTTTTTGTGACTGCGAGCGTGAAGCCTCGGATATGGTTCATGACAGCTCCTAGCCGCACACTCGGCTTAAGTCGCTCGAGAGGGGGGAATGTCTGCGGCTCCAGCAGATGTGCCACATGCAGACCCCAAGTGGCAGTGCCCTTAGTTTAATAATAATATCACCCAGAATCCTTCAACAGAGGCCTGGAGTCACCTAGGACTGGGCAGCAGCCTAGAGTCATGAGTCCGTTTGAAGACCACATCATGTTGAGGCATGCCCGACATTTTGCAATGCTCAAGGTAAGGTGAGCAAGTTGAACAAGCAAAGCCGTAACGAAGCAATCAAAACAATCACAAGAATGACAGCACCGCAGCAGACATCGTGGCTTATCGGCTATAAAGGCATCACACCAACGGCATATACAGGGGCAAGTGCATGTAAAAGTAACAAACAAAGAGCCAATTCAACAAGCAAAGCTGTAAGCAAATATAGATGTAGTGCCAAATCACGATGTGGTCCCGACGAAAGCAGCAGCCTGAAAACCGACTTAGCCCTGATGTCTTGATTAATTCGGATGACATCAGGGCTGTTCCCATCGTGGCCTGAACACATATTAAAATCCCTCTCACTGGACAAAGCCAGAACCCAGAAGAAACCAGAACGGATTGAACACATTACTGTAGGCCGCCGCGAAGCTACCTAAGCCGTCCTAAGAACAGTGTCTAAGCCTTTGGTGAGGTCCTGCACCCCAGGCCTTGCAAACTCCAATTTTTACCACATTTGACAGTATGATACCGGTACTTGCCGCAAACCTGTCAATTTGCACTATTGGTTCTCTCGTTTGCAGACCTTGCCCGGCATTGTCCGAGTGTAAGCGTCCAAGAAAAGCTTCAACCACCGGAGTTTGTTTGTCATGATCCCTGTGTTGACTAGTTGCTTAACCCTGACATGTCAGTCTGCGCAAAACCTGATTCTAGGGGCTGCGCCCGGGCGGGCAGCGCAGGTAGAAGCCTGGAGCAAGGCCACGCACCCCGCCTGCGCCGAACTCCGCTGATGCTGATGATGTGCGCCCTTTGCGGGCTTTCGCTGGGCGCAGTGGAAGCTGGGGACGCTGAGGGTCGGGGGGTCGGCGGTCGGAGGGGCATGAGCTGTAGGCCTTGCCTTGAAAGGCATGGTCCAGTAGTCGGCGCTGGGGGCGCTGAGGATTAAATGACTAAGTCACTACTCTGAAGGTATGGTCATTACTCTGAGCACCACTTTAAAAGGAAAAGGTCCACACTGAGGGCGCTGGGGGGTCGGTGGGGGTCGGGGGTGCATGAACAAGCCAAGGCAAAACAATGAAAAGCACACAGCGAAAGTACTCGCTTCAAACTCGTGCAGCAAAATCCCGCGTGAAGTGAGCAAAGCCGAAAACCGAGCAGGTAACACAACTTCTGAGCGCCGCCCGCAGGCGTCGGCGGATAACGGAATGTAGAGCTACGCCGTCCTCAAGCAATTTTGTATGTACTCGTTTAGGGGTTTCAGGTTTCGCATCCGTTTAGAGGGCTTTACCCCAAGTCCAACGACTTATCCGAGGAGGCAGCAGGCCCTTGCTAACCAGGTCAGCCGAAGCGGCTCGTTCGGCACTGTGTCCCTGATCTGCGGGGCTATGGAGGGTTTAATTAGCTTAGTACAGGGAAACTCAACCCTACACCCTTGTCAACCCTGCAATGCGGGAAAGACCTCTTTCCCTTGACCCCAACCTAGCAAACATCACGGCCAGGGGCAGCTGCACATCACCACATTCCTGTACCCCACCAGGTCATACAGGACGTACGTAAGAATACTCAAATTATGCTAACGAGACTGCTCCTGATAGTGAGATAGTGAATAATGAAAACTAACTATCAGTAACATTCAGAAATACAGTAAGGAAACCCTGTTTGCTTTGAAGCCTCCGTGTTTGCAGCGGCTAGGACTTCCTGGAAACGGTAGAGTTTAGACCTCTAGGTTTTGTTGACTGATGGTTTGGGATGTAGGTTTCAGGCTTCGGAGCTTCAATTTGATTCTACATTGACATGGAATATGTTTATCTTAACAAGATAAGGAAATAGTAGCACCAGTCGCCATAACAAGACTAGTGAGATAAATAACTTGAGTCGCGCTTTTGGGGCTGACCAGGGGTTTGTAGACTAGACAGCTCCTGAGGGCATGCTGAAAGGCTGAAAGACAGAAGCCAGATTTTGCCCCCTGTCCCCATGATATAACCTGAATCCACGGTGGGTTTCAGCCCTTGCAGTTTTTTGTCATAGTGGGGTTGGTATTCTTGTCGGGCTATAAGTCCTACCGTTCTCATAGGCCGTAGAAATTTCCTAGCCCTTGCTGAAGGCATGCAGAAGAAGGAACCACGACGCCGCTCTACGACCTTTGCCATCTGAGACTCGGAGTCCTCGGAGCCAGCTGCAGCTGCGAGATCGCGTTTTTTTCCCCGGGTGTCTCTCGGGAAGTCATAATTATACTATGTGTTTTGGATACATATGAGGGCTTATG